CCCCCACCCAGAATGTAGGCTTCTCCATTTTATCCAACACTGCACCTGATGGCCAGCCCATAGGCCCTCAATAAATAACTGTTGAACAGTGACTATGTCCTTCATGTCTATAAAACTTGAGCATCTACTACAGTGAGCAAAGTAAATATCAAAAAATTATATGACAAAATGTATAAGAGCTTCTCTCCATGGAGCTCAAAACAAGGTGTGTAAGCCATTCTAATTACCTTAATTTAGAATTAAGACTCTTCCATTTTTAAATTTTGAAATAGGGTCTGGGCTGAGTCTTGCAGGCCAGGCTTGACCTGTGACCCTTCTGCCCCACAGCCTCATGAGTGGCCATGATAGTGAGTTGTTTTTAATGGAATCAGGGAAAGGCAAAGAAGAGAGAAGTATGTGAGAATTCTGTGAGTCAATGATGGAAAATTAATAAAATACAGATTTAGGATAAATGACCATGAACTAAAAACCTTCTGCAAACATTCCAGAAGCAGTTTTTTCCTAAAGTATAAAATAATAAACTGAATTTTAAGCCCAAATTTCCATGCAAGTGTTCTCATATGAAACAAAGAATGTGCTTGTTCTTTTTAGAGGCTTTAGACTCCATGTGGCATGGAATCTACTGTAAATGCTCACTGTAATCTGCACTGTCCAATACAACAGCCACTAGCCACGTGCACCTATTATGTAGTTGTAATGTGGCCAATACAACCAGGAAAGGAATTCTTAAATTTTCCTTAATTTTGGTTATTTTAATGTTTATTAGCCACATAGGGCTATTGGCTACCCTACTGAGCAGCACAGCTACAGGAGGTTTGATATATAAGCTCCTTGACTGGGTCCTTGCCTGTTCTCTAGCTCCTCTTCTGCTCCTCTCCCTCCCCACAGTAATCAACTCTTGCAAGGCCAAACTGCTGTTTCATACCTCCATGGATCTGCAGACGCCAGCCCCTTTGCCTTAAATGCTCTCCCTACCCAACTGCAAATTTCATCAAAATCTCATTTAGATTTCGTTCCTTGGGACAACTTTCCCTAACCTCCCTATCTCAGCCCACTGCTGCCACAATCCACCATTGCCTCCTCTGTATTTCTCTGAATCCATTTCTGTTACTATTCTCATTATCCTGTAGCTGTAATTTGTTTTCTGTGACACCAAGGATTTACACTAATTTTGAAGGCAGGTCTTATTTATCCCTCCATCCTGGTCATGTGTGTGCCCATCCATCATATAATACATCATATAATACAATACATAGTATGTGTTTGCCGACAACATTATTCATTTTTAAGCATACATAATGTCCTATGAAAATAATTTTCTGAGAATTGACAACCACTTTATGGTTACTTGGGCCAATATTTATTAAAAGGCAAATCTTCATACTAATAAAAAGTTCTTAGAGTAATAGTTAAGGGTCTACTTAACTCAAACCCTATCAACATAATAGTTCAGTAGAAACCAAGAATATAGATGTTCCCTGGCACAAAATCCTACCAATAGCTCCTCCTTCTTTTTTAAAAATATTTTTTAGTTGTATATAGACACAATACCTCTATTTATTTATCTTTAAGTGGTGCTGAGAATCGAAACCAGGGCCTCACACATGCTAGGCACATGCTCTGCCACTGAGCCATAACCCCAGGCCTAGCTGCTTCTTCTGATGTAAATCTCTTGGATTTCAGAAACTGATCTTGCCATTGATCTGTCCCCAGTGGCTAAGGTGACTTTTCAGGGAGACAGGGAAGAGGTTCAGAAGCAAAAAAAGAGGATCTCATTTCAGACTCTCCATGGTCATGGTCATGGGAATTTAAAATAATCTATCTTTGCTGCACCCCCCTATCCAATCCTACCTCCAAGAAGGAAATAATTAAAATCCTTTTTAACATGAAAAATAATGACTTTGGGTGATGTGTGTCCATCCAATGACATGTTATCCAAAAGGAATTGTGTGTTCTCCTAATTTCTTGACAAAGATTTTACTCAAGAAATATTCCTAGAGGGTATCATCATGCATCTTTTGTAATGTTATCTGGCCCAATAGTCACACTTTTAAACTCATGATTTTCCAACTAATTTTTTATTTGGATTCCCACACAATTATTCCTATAGAGTCAGCTCTTGGTGAATACATTGCTGTAAGCCTTGTTTGTATAATTCCCAAATATCAAGCATGTGTTAAATATATCTTACAAATGTCTATTCTTCCTGCCCTCCAGGAAGGTACAGTTCAGTAATGCAAACAAGGAAGTACACAGTGAACAGATACATGCATGCTTGTGGGCACGGCAATAGCAGCAGGCATTGAAGAAAATGGATTTCAGGAAGAATATGAATCCAAAGGACCATATCTTCAAAGTAGATATAAATTTGACTTTTGTTTTATTAATTTGGCAGTTTCATTTTCTTTTTAAAATGCACAAATGGTACTTTTGAATGTAATGAATGATGATTTAATAAATGACTCAGGGCTATACGATCATTTAGATAAATCTTACATTTTCCCATAATATTAGTAGATTTTAAATAATCTTTTTTCTGGTTTTCCTTTTCCCTTGCCCAAAACAGATCTCCCAGAATCTTAATAGAATGTGTTTCAAAAAGACAAAAGCCAAAGATATCTTCTGAGGATCCTGATGAATAATGTGAGATAAGATGTCCTAAATTCAAATATAGGGACATCAATTTCTTTTTTTAACTTCCTTATAAAATCTGCTCACCTAGGAAAAAAAACACTGATTAAGTCTAAAAATTATGTTCTACATTTTATTGGAATTGCCAGTGTATTCTAATATAAAATGCACTTATTTCCAAAATGTATTATTGCTACTTGGAAAAGGCAGATCTGGTTTTCAAAGATGATGCTTTAAGGTTAAAAATGAAGATAGTGACCTCAAATCTCTCACGATTTGTAAGGCTGGCATGCCATCTATCTCAATAATACCTAACAAGAATGTCAAATGGACAGAAACAGCCATGGTAAGCAGGTGCTTGAAGCTGACAGTGATTGCTGTATTTGAGGTGATGGGAACAGCATTTCCATTAGTTCAAGTGAAATACAATGCCCTGCCAACCATAGGTATCAGTGTATTCAATCCCCCTGCTGTGGGTGTCCATTTTCTGTTGCTGCAATTAAAAATCAGTTGATACAGAGTCAAAATGTTGTACATTCTTCCCCTATCCCTTTCCCTGTCACTGTGTTTCCAGCTTCACCGGAAGAACATGTCACTATGGTAACCAATTCCTCTGGTGCACAGACCAAGTCAACCTTTCTAGTCAGATTGCCAGGCAGAGTAACACAGAATCAGAGCCCTGGATGGAACCACCAGAAGCCATAAATTCCATCTCCTTGTCTCTAAGTGGAGTTAACTCATGCCAGAAAGAAGGATATCTATCTTGTTCTAGAAGGTGTTCAAGAATATCCTGCCAGTATTTGCCAGTCATTATTAACATGAATTCTCCCCATGTTTCAGCTAACTTCCTGCCATTTCCATTTTAAAGAAAGCAAAAAGAACAGATAAAATAACACTTAAGAAATCTGAAAACTGTCACCCGTTGTCAAAAACAACTCTACCTCCTTCCTTGTTTTCCTACTTTCTCAATCCAAGCCCAAGTTGCTCTCTTCTGAAATCCCCTAACATCCTATACATCTTTATAAAGTTGTAGAGCTCCAAATGGGTCACCTGGCTCTAATAAGAACCTGGTCATGAAGCAGATAGGATATCTGTAGTTTGAACACACCCGTAACTAAATCAGCTGAAATCCCTAGTCATTCTAAAGAAGCTACAAAGCAAACACCAAGATGGATTCTCTCTCTGAACCCACCTCACCTCCTAAATGTGAACTGGTCTCCTAGACTGTACCCAGTGCCTGTCTTTCTCAAATAGTTGACTTTTCAAATTAATTTTTTCTAATGTTTCAACACTTTTGTAAATCAAAGAACATTGGTTCTTACAAATGCTATTTTAAAACATCAGTAACCTCAACAGCATTATGATAGGATACATTAAGAACTGCCTTATGTCCTGGGCTCAAAGCATCTTGCAAATAATAGCATCATTGTCACCTTAGTATTCATATTAGTAGTTGAAGTCAATGAAATATTGAGGAGGGGGCATGACTCACAAAATCTGCATATCTTCTCAAGCTGCAGCCCTGATATTTTTTCAGATCAATATTAACACACATCACATCCAAAGAATATTTCAGTGGGGTGATGGTACAGGATGGTTCACAACATATAAATCATACAAGATTTACAAGTTGCATCAAATAAGGAGAATTTTTCATTTATGTTATCATGTTAATGTGTTGAATAAAATGTTATCAATTAGCAAATGCAGCTTGTTTTCTGTTTTGGTGTATTTTATATATTTTTCATGTAAGTCCTCTGAAAAACCACATTTTTTTCTCTGAAATTCCAACTTTGGTATTACTTTTGTTGTGCTTATTAAACCCTGCTGATATTTATTGCACATAACTCACTTTTTTGTCAACCACTTTTTCAAAAGGAGAAATTTTTTTAATTGTGACATGCTACTACCCGGCCAACAGGTTTTGAAACGCTATACACAAAGGTTGGTGATGTATTGATGTTTATATGACCAATGATTTTTCCCTCTGTTTTCCTTGTTTGGATCAGTTCGACATCTAAAAGATGAAGAATCCGAGTCTATTACACGATCATATCAGTCTTAGAAGAAGGGCTTCTTCAAAGAACAACGATATAGATTCGCTTCCCTCTCGGACGCTAATGAAGCGTTATCCTGGATAACAACCCTGGGCCATGAGATTTCACGCGAATCTGGACACACAAGAGCAAGACAAGGAGCCTCCACCGCTTTCCATTACCATCTATGGGAAGGTAAGTTCGGGCACTCGGGGGTGCAGACAGGCCTGGGTAAATGGACAGCTAGTGGCCGGGAGCAGAGGCCAGGGACTGCAGGGCCTACCCAGAGGCGCCAGGCTCTCTGCAGCGCCACGCCTCGCGCCTCCCGCTTACCTTTCCGAATGAGGGCAGCGATCTCCGGGTCGAAGCCCTGCCGGTGGCACTTCCTCCAGAGGCCCATGTTGGTGGAGTTGTACTGTCGGCTGCACTCGTCCGCGGGGCTCATGGCGAAGAGCTGCCGGCGATTCCGGGCCCGGAGGAGTTTGCCCTCCCAGCGGTCCAGGCGTGAGCGGCTGGCCCGGAGCGGCAAGTTGTTGTTGTTGTTGTAAATAAAGCCAGGGTCAACCCGGCGAGTATTGAAGGCCTTGCACCTGTCCCTGTGCTTCCTAGCGTCGGTCTCGTACCAGTGGTCGGAGCAGATGGCCACAGCCAGCATGCCCAGGGCGCAGAGCGCTAGCGAGAGGCCCGTGTAGAGCAGTAACCTTCCGGCAGCCATGCCTCCGCTTCGCGGCTACACCATGGGCATGATCCGCCGCAGCCTCGCCTTCCCTCCGCGCGCCCGGAACAAAGCGGCGGGCGGCCGAGCTGGGGGATGGGGACAAGAGGGGGACTCGC